AATATATATATATATATATATATATCATGTATATGTGTTACACTGATGAGTCGCAAGACTCAAAGTTAATAAAGAACTTGAACTTGAACATACTACCCCGGTCTCCCCTTCAGTGTTAACAACTAACCCCGGTCTCCTCTACAGTGTTACAACCAACCCCAGTATCCCCTTCGGTGTAATAACCAACCCCGGTGTATCCTTCAGTGTAACAACAAACACTGGTATCCCCTTTAGTGTAACAACTAACCCCGGTCTCCGCTACAGTGTAACAACCAACCCTTATATCCTCTATAGTATAACAACCAACCCCAGTATCCTCTTCAGTGTTACAACCATCACGATCTCCCCTTCAGTGTAACAATCAACCCCGGTATCCTCTACAGTGTAACAACGAACCCCGGTATCCTCTTCAGTGTTACAACAAACTCGGGTCTCCCCTTCAGTGTTACAACCGACCCCGGTTTACAACCAACCCAGGTCCCCTCTACATTGTTATAACCATCCCCGGTTCCTCACAACCAACCCCGGTATCCTCTACACTGTTACAACCAATTCCGGTCTCCCCTACAGAGTTACATCAAACCCCGGTCTCCTCTATAGTGTTACAACCAACCCCGGTCTCACTTTAGTGCTTCAACCAACTCTGGTCTCCCCTAAAGTGTTACATACTACCCCGGTCTCCTCTATAGTGTTACAACTAACCCCGGTCTCCTCTATAGTGTTACAACTAACCCCGGTCTCCCCTTCAGTGTTACATACTACCCCCGTCTCCCCTTCAGTGTTACAATAAACCCTAGGCTCCTATATAGTGGTAAACCAAAATCAACCATGGTATCCCCTTACCTTATTTTGTCTGTCAAAATGGAGGGGCCGACCTCCAGGATGCTTTTAGGGGCGATGCCTAAAGGATAATATGATCATGCTGGTTAAAGCTACTTCTCTCGGACGACGAGAATGATATTAACTATATTTGACTAAATAACTATGGATTCAATTGCTGAACACGGAGATGTCGATACACATGCTACATGTACCAAGATTGGCTTTGGTATCTTACTTAAACTAATGCTTTTTACGAGACAGTTTTACATTGATTGCTCAATATCCAGCGTTACAGGCTCCCGGACCTCTTGTTACGAACCTCCCCCGTACAGTTAATGACCTAAGTCAACCCTTAACAGTGTTACAACCAACCACCCAGGTATCTCCCTTCATCCTCAAACATACCAAGGAGGCCAATACTAACGAGTGGTCAATGTTGTACGTGTACATTTCTATGATTGAACAAGTACAACGGTAATCATGTCGTGTATCGACTAGTTTTGCCTCTTGTGATTTTAAAGAAGTTTTTAATAAATTGTGCAATGGTTGGATGTAATTAAACAGATTTATGAAATTGCTTTATTTAATGTAATGGCTGAAGGCGTTAGCTTATACACTTTTGTATAGCAATCTTTTATGAAAATAAACGGTTTTGAAGGCCAACAAGTATCATATTGCGTTTCTGGGTTTGATATTTCCCGTGACGAAGATGAAAAAAGAGGCAGGCAATATGAACTCCCGTTGCCCGTATTTTGAAACAGGATTATTGCACTGCAAAACATCTGTAAGTGAAGACATGTAGCATAAGTGACGAACCATGGAAACGCAAGGCTATATTGACCAGACAACGCTCAGTCAATGGGAACATTTAACGCGTGCCGGTACGTTAAGTTATTGGGAACATTTAATTTAGCTCTTGTCAGTACGTGGTGTCATTGGGAATATTTAGCACATGTCGGCACGCTAGTCATAAGGAACATTTAGCACGTGTCAGTACGTTCTTCAATGGGAAAATTTAGCACGTGTGGGTACTTTCGGTAACTGTGAACGTCTAACATGTGCCGGTACGTTCAGTCAATGGAAATATTTAGCACGTGTCGGTATATTCATTCAATGGGAACAGATATATGTAGCACGTGTCGAGACTTTCAGTTATTGGGATCATATAGCACGTGTCGGTACTTTCAGTTATTGAGAACATTTAGCAGGTGTCGGTCCATTGAGTCATTGGGATCATATAGTACGTGTCGGTCCGTTGAGTCTTTTGGAACATTAAGCACGTATCGGTACGTTCGATCATTGGAAACATTTAGCATGTATCGGTACGTTCAGTCCTTGAGGACACATAGTACGTGTCGGCACGTTCAGTCCATGGGGACATATAGCACATGTCGGTACGTTCAGTCAATGGGGACACATAACACGTGTCGGTGCGTTCAGTCCATGGGGACATATAGCACGTGTCGGTACGTTCAGTCCATGGGGACATATAGCACATGTCGGTGCGTTCAGTCAATGGGGACACATAACACGTGTCGTTACGTTCAGTCCATGGGGACATATAGCACGTGTCGGTACGTTCAGTCCATGGGGACACATAACACGTGCCGGTACGTTCAGTCCATGGGGACATATAGCAGATGTCGGTACGTTCAGTCAATGGGGACATATAGCACGTGTCGGTACGTTCAGTCAATGGGGACTCATAACACGTGTCGGTATGTTCGGTCATTGGAAACACTTAGCATGTATCGGTACGTTCAGTCCTTGAGGACACATAGTACGTGTCGGTACGTTCAGTCCATGGGGACATATAGCAGATGTCGGTACGTTCAGTCAATGGGGACATATAGCTCGTGTCGGTACGTTCAGTCAATGGGGACATATAGCTCGTGTCGGTACGTTCAGTCAATGGGGACATATAGCACGTGTCTGTACGTTCAGTCAATGGGGACATATAGCACGTGTCGGGACGTTCAGTCAATGGGGACACATAGCACGTGTCGGTACGTTCAGTCCAGGGGGACATATAGCACATGTCGGTACGTTCAGTCAATGGGGACACATAGCACGTGTCGGTACGTTCAGTCAATGGGGACATATAGCACGTGTCGGTACGTTCAGTCCATGGGGACACATAGCACGTGTCGGTACGTTCAGTCCATGGGGACATATAGCAAAATCGTCCGATTACCGATCCGGAGGATGTCATTTACCACTGTTAAGATCAATTAAATATAGAACATCACACACTTTTTCTATACAAGATAGATACTTTGTACATGTATATAGTATAAAGGTGGTCGGTACATGGAGTTGAATTGTAGAACATTTTACATATCAATTAGTTAATGAAATCCTTTTGTTATTCAATCGCAAAACACTTCTGGCGTATATAATTGATTTACTTCTATGTATAAACATTAATATTAACACATTTTGCACAATACTATCTTAACATGCCCCGTGTTTGCCCTCGTATGTCCGGTTATAGTCATTAATTGATCTATCTGAAAAGTTAAACGATTGTCTACATATAGCAGTGGTTATAGATGTAATGGGATAACAGTAGCCGCTAGCTTAAGTGTACTGGACACGTGATAAAACCAGACACATGTATATTCATATTGTTGATAGATTTAATGTAAGAACAGGGTGTCGTATCGTTTGGTAGCAGGCCGTGGATACAACACAATAGTTGTAGACATTTGGTAAAGTACTGTAAGTCGCCAGTGTCATGTTCTTAGACAAGAATCATTATTAAACAGAAATCGAAACGGTTAAAATAATTAACTAATCAGACCATTACATTTTCTAGTTTTGATACTGAAATAAAAAAAAAATCATTGTTTTTGCAGACATGACCATGGGAGCTCCGTCCGAAAGGAAGTGTTCACAGAGGAACCGTATTAAATACACGACTGAACAGGTCAGTAACGCATACCACTGAAACAAATCTAACCAAGTTTGGTAGTTATTTTTTATCAATAATTAAATGACGTCACAATTCTGCAGTAAGTATATAATACCTTCAGTTCTACTAATTGGTATCGCATCGTCAGTATACCAACCTATATATCACAGAGGGTATTCACAGCCTCTGTCAGTATATAGTCTACATCGTCAGTATACCAACCTATATATCACAGAGGGTATTCACAGCCTTTGTCAGTATACAGTATATACATAGTCAGTATACCAACCTATTTATCACAGAGGGTATTCACAGCCTTTATCAGTATACAGTATACATCGTCAGTATACCAACCTATTTATCCCAGAGGGTATTCACAGCCTCTGTCAGTATATAGTATACATCGTCAGTATACCAACCTATATATCACAGAGGGTACTCACAGCCTTTATCAGTATACAGTATACATCGTCAGTATACCAACCTATTTATCACAGAGGGTATTCATAGCCTTTGTCAGTATACATCGTCAGAATACCAACCTATTTATCACAGAGGGGATTCACAGTCTTTGTCAGCATACAGTATACATCGTCAGTATACCAACCTATATATCACAGAGGGTATTCACAGCCTTTATCAGTATACAGTACACTTCGTCAGTATAACAACCTATATATAACAGAGGGTATTCACAGCCTTTGTCAGTATACAGTATACATCGTCGGTATACCAACCTATATGTCACAGAGGGTATTCACAGCCTTTGTCAGTATACAGTATACATCGTCAGTATACCAACCTATTTATCACAGAGGGTATTCACAGCCTTTGTCAGTATATAGTATACATCGTCAGTATAACAACCTATATATCACAGAGGGTATGCACAGCCTTTGTCAGTATACATCGTCAGTATAACAACCTATTTATCACAGAGGGTATTCACAGCCTTTGTCAGTATACAGTATACATCGTCAGTATACCAACCTATATGTCACAGAGGGTATTCACAGCCTTTGTCAGTATATAGTATCCATCGTCAGTATAACAACCTATTTATCACAGAGGGTATTCACAGCCTTTATCAGTATACAGTATACATCGTCAGTATACCAACCTATATATCACAGAGGGGATTCACAGCATTTGACGCTAAATGACTTGTCCATAGACCGTAACACAAAAACAAAAACTTTTCCCACCAAATAATGATTATACAGGAAACATGCGTTTATGGGTTTATTGAATCGCTTCAACACACATCCACGATAATCTGGCAGAGTAAGATAATTGGTTGCAGCACATCATTTATGACATCAGCTATGTATGCGCGGTTTGTTGTAAGCGATAAATCATAAGACAAATGTTTGTATAATATTATTCGATTTCATTCTTTAGTTGTAAAATAGATATAATCAGCATACGCTTATATAGTATAGCTTAAGATTGAACTGACGGAAAAAATAATAAGTGATACATGTATAATGCTAGCGTTTTATGTAAATAGAGGATGGTAGATAAGGTAGTTTTTTTTTATCAATGTAGGGCGAAAGATACGTTTGTTTCATATCATATTAATGCGGAAGATACGACTGTTTTATATCATTATAGGGCGGTTGTACGGTTGCTTTATATCATTATAGGGCGGTTGAACGGTCGTTTTTATCATTGAAGGGCGGAAGATACGGTTGTTTTATATCATGATAGGGCGGTAGACATGGTGGTTTTATATGACTATAGGGTCCGGTAGATATGGTTGTTTTATATGACTATAGGGCCCGGTAGATATGGTTGTTTTACATCATTATTCGGCGGTAGATACGATCGAGATATCATTGTAGGGCGGTAGATACGGTCGTTTTACATCATTATATAGGAGTATTGACGATCATTTAAATAATGAAAGGTCGGTGGATACGGTCGTTTTATATCACTTAACTAATGACGGTATTTAACCATTGCTATTGATGACAAACTAAATAAAGCCCGATGTTAGATTTTTAGTAATAGAAATTTGTGTTTTAGGACCATAACAATATTTTCTAAAATATGAATTATTTGTATTTACATTTTGATAGAGTAGTTATGCGTCATTTAGTTATTTCGAGCAGTTTTTGAACAGCAAATCAAGTGTTGACAACAATGAAATAGATGACGTCACAATAGAGATTGATGACGTTACAATAGCAAATGTTGTTATAGTCTCATAACAACATTTGCCTTCGCAATGCATTACAATGGAAGGATGCAGAGCAAATGTAAATATATACATATATTTGCATTCTGTATGTTAGGGCCCATTAACGAAAATGACATTCATTTTTCCATAACACATGTGACCTCATCACCGCGTATTGATCATCTGCAATGACGTAACACGGGGCTTACATGGTTTCACGTCCGCCGTTAAACAGCCATCGATATTGTTTAGTTATGCTTATATGAATGAACCTTAAACATTATTGGCTTGATTTTAAAGCTAAAGTAAGGTGAAGTATATTTTGCGCCTTGTAGAAATTATATAAATCATTTTTTTTAAATGGAACTACATTTTGTTTCTCATTGAAAGTTTTACATTTTCCTGCGAAAACATTCTGTTCTCTCTACTGCGTTGCCACCATGTATAAATAGAAAACTATACCTGTATTTTTTTTCTATTTATGCTTGCATCGGAAAATCCAAAGCATTAAAAATGTAAATATAAGGAATGAAAATATTTTTTCAACATTCATGAGGTCATAACAACATTCGCTTTCTTGACGTATTTACCAAGAATCGCTAACGCTAATGTTATTATGACCTCATGAATGTTGGAAAAATAAATTTTATCCTTTTAAAAATATCACTATAAGGCGGTAGATACGGTTGTTTTATATCATTATAGGGCGGTAGATACGTTTGTTTTATATCATTAAAGGCGTTTGTACGGTCGTTTAATATCACTATACATGTAGGGCGGTAGATAAGGTCGTTTTTATCATTACAGGGCAGATATGGTCGTTCCACACGGTAGATAGGGTCGTTTTATATCATTATAAGGCGGTAGATAGGGTCGTTTTACATCATTATAGGGTGGAAGATAGGTCGTTTATATAATTTAAGGGCGGTATATACGGTTGATTTATATTACATTAGAACAGACGATATCAGTAAAGGCGTTGTATATCACTATAAGGCGGTAGATATGGTCGTTTTATATCATTAGAGGGCGGTAGATACGGTCGTTTGATACCATTTAAGGACGGTAGATAAAGTCTTTATATATCCATATAAAATCGTAGATACGATCGTTATATGGCGGTAGATACGGTCGTTTTATATAGCTTGAGGGCGGTAGATACAGTCGTTTTATATCACTATAAGACGGTAGACACGGTCGTTTAATATCACTATGGGGCAGTAGATACGGTCTTTTATAACGCTTTAGGGCGGTAGATACGATTCTTTTACATAATGATAGGGCGGTAGATACTTTTGTTTTATATCATTATAGGACGATAGATTTTAATCATTGTTGGACAGGAGATAGGTCGTTTTACATCACAACAGAACGGTAGATATAACGTTTGACAGTCAGTTGATATTATCACTGTTTGACCCCTTTGATGGTTATTAACTGACAGTCATTGTTTGTGTCACCAGCTTGAACGTCTGGAGAGAGAGTTCGGCATTTCCCACTACCCTGACACCGCTACAATGGAGAACCTGGCTTTTGGACTAAACGTCAGCCTCGACCGAGTGTCGGTAAGTTACGCCTAAGACAGTCTGTTATTTCGATTAAACGTCATCCTCAACCGAGTGTCGGTAGGTTACGCATAAGACAGTCTGACATTTCGACTAAACGTCATCCTCAATCGAGTGTCGGTAGGTTACGAATAAGACAGTCGGACATTTCGACTAAACGTCATCCTCGACCGCGTGTCGGTAAGTTACGCATAAGACAGTCTTACAGTTCGATTAAACATCATCCTCAACCGAGTGTCGGTAGGTTACGCATAAGACAGTCTGGTATTTCGATTAAACGTCATCCTCGACCGCGTGTCGGTAGGTTACGCATAAGACAGTCTGGTTTTTCGATTAAACATCAGCCTCGTCCTCGTGTCGGTAAGTTACGCATAAAACAGTCTGGTATTTCGATTAAAAATCAGCCTCGACCGCGTGTCGGTAAGTTCCGCATAAGACAGTCTGACATTTGGACTAAACATCAGCCTCGACCTCGGGTCGGGAAGTTAGGCATAAGACAGTCTGACATTTCGATTAAACGTCATCCTCAACCGAGTGCCGGTAGGTTACGCATAAGACAGTCTGGTTTTTCGATTAAACATCAGCCTCGTCCTCGTGTCGGTAAGTTACGCATAATACAGTCTTACAGTTCGATTAAACGTCATCCTCAACCTAGTGTCGGTAGGTTACGCATAAGAAAATCTGACATTTCGACTAAACGTTATCCTCGACCTCGTGTCGGTAAGCTACGCATAAGACAGTCTGACATTTGGACTAAACGTCAGCCTCGACCGCGTGTCGGTAAGTTCCGCATAAGACAGTCTGACATTTCGACTTAACGTCATCCTCGACCGCGTGTCGGAAGGTTACGCATAAGACAATCTGACATTTCGACTAAACGTTATCCTCCACCGAGTGTCGGTAAATAGTACGCAAACATGACAGATATACTGTGTGCGAGGGTTTGTTCTACTAATTTTTACCAATAATCCTCGTCATGTAACAGACCCTTTAGTCGTTTTCCACCAAGAACATAACATCCTGCTGACTACTTTGTAATGTGCTATATTCGGATTTTGTACTTGACTGAAAAGATACTCAAACAGAACAAGACATTTCAGATGTATTTCAAATATCAAGTAGTGAGCAATGACACATTACAAAGTATCTACGTCTTCCATTTCCTATCCGGCATTGCTATCCTTATCGGGACGGCTTTTTAGACTGTTGACACAGCAACTCCCCCCCCCCCTCCAAAACTCGACAAAGCCATTTGATGGAGAGGAAAAACTGAACTTCGTTCTCTGATTTTACTGAGATGGTCGATGTTCCTCACATAGGTATGATTGGTTATTTCTATTATCTGCATATGTCGTTTTTGTCGCCATATGTTATGCTATCTTGTTTCACTTGTAGATATGGTTCCAGAACAGGCGGTCCAAGTTCAAGCGTCAGTCCAAAGACAGTCATGTGACATGGATGAGGAAGCAGATCTTTAACCAGGACACATCTTCCACTTCCTGCCGCGTCGTCCAACCGAAGTTTGTCCCCCAGCGGCACGTGCTCTCTGCGCCTGCGTACCCTCTCAGTGGTAGAAGGGACTTGGCCTGGCACATGCGACCATCCTCCAAGTAAGTAGATAGAATATGCTATCCATGACAGAGATTTTTTACTACCATTTAAAACAAGAGGCCCAATAGACCTGTATCACTCACCGATTATCAATTTCACATATTATGACACGGTATTTCAAGGTCAGATTTTTACCAATGTAACCTTCAAAGTTTGTCTAGGTTATTCTTGAATATGAGTAAAGATCATTCATTTGAAATACAATTAAAATTGCTCTAGCCTAGTAAGCTGCTGGCCAAAATCATCCCCTATGTTTCTATGTTGTTGACAATATGTCGTTTAAAGCTTTACCAATTTTACCCATGCGACACTGAACGTGAAGAAAGGTCATTCATTTGAATAAATTTGATAGTCCTTTACCCCAGCATGCTAGTGGCTAAATATCAGTGGGTAAACCAACATGTTTTGATATGTCCAAACACGTAGTCGCTTGTCATTGTAATGGTATCATTTGTACTTGCAGTCTTCATTATCTCCCGTCGGCACCAGCCATCTTTGACCAGCTGGCAGATGCCCACCATGGTCAGTCACCACCGTCAAGAGGAAATGGTTGCCCTACTTCACCGGAAACAGCGTTCTACACATACTCTCAGTGCTCGGACCCAGGAAGTCAATCACCGCCACAGTCACCACCAGGGTCTTCACCTATGACGTCACCACTGTCAACACATGCGCTGATGATGTCACACCTGATGAATGAAGGTCACCAGATGGTTACCTCTACCAGTTCCTACCAGACATGTGCCAATCAAACTCCGCCCAGCTGTGTGTTCGCTGACTATAACAACCCCATGCCTCTCTACCCACCATGCTCAACGCCCTTCTCGTCCCGTCCTCAGCTGACTGGAGTGTGACACTACCAGACAACTTCTAGTTAATATCACAGAATGTGCTATGATACTCAGTGACTGATATGAATGTGTTCCGTCTTACTTTAAAACGGAAATTATCTGTACAGTGTTGTGTAAATAACTAGTAATTATTTGGCAGATGGTCTGTATGTACATTGTTTTTGTTATTATAGTCTCGTTCAGACAGTCTCTCGTTGGCTTCACGAGAATACTCTTAGCTTTTCTTTGGCTCCGCAAGACTGTGCCTAACCTCTCGTTGGAACTCAACCAAGACTCGTATTGCGAACGTGAAGTTGGATGGAGGAGACTATATACTATATTGACAATCGGGAACCGTCGGCACTTTCTGTAAACGAAAAAAGTTCCCGATTGCTATATTGATTGCTTAATGACTTCCGGTATTTAAATCATAATTAATATTAAAACCATGCATTCAAATCAGATATATTGCATACAAACAGTGGGAAATTAAAAGCAGTCTCGTTTCGGTGCGCTTCAAAGTTCCAAGATGCTAACTAACGGTATTTGTGTGGTATAAGGCGAACCTACTTTCAAATACAACGGTTTCATGTGTTAACAAAATGTTAACATAGAAATGTATTAATTCTCTTCAAACTTCTTCCATGTCATTCTCAAAATGATGATTGTTTTTTATTGAATTATCACCGGAACAAAATGCTGGGCTTCAGCACAGAATCTGTGTTTGAGCATGAGAACGATTTTGTGAATACGGGCATAGAACTTCGGTGGTCCTGGATTTAAATAAAATGAACCGACACATTTTACATGTGAAATCATGTACAAAAAGGTCATCTTGTAAGTTGCAGTGGGTGTGATAAAATCACCAAACGATCATCGCTAAACTACAAAACTTTATACTGTAATAACGTGACTCATAATTTCACCAGTTTGACTTGTGTATAAAGACCATGGTCTTCTTAAATCCAGCCACACTCAAGGAAAATGTGGGGAAAACATGACACGAAGATAAAAAAAAGTGTGCTTCATAAAACGAATATTAGTCATATTGCATCAATCTTGAATATATACATTTACAAATGTAGTCGTCGTGGTAGTGAAACAGAATATTATCTATCATTACAAAAATATGGTTCGGGTAATGTGCATATGTCTGACAAATAAAATGTATGATTGTATACAAATACAAATAAATACAAAACATGGAAACTGCGTTGTTTGTTTACCTTGTCATGTTCATAAGCTTAATAAATCGACGACTTTGAGTTCAATTAATGTAGTTATAGTAGCTGTTCAGACAGTGGGTGGGTATACTTGACACTAACTGTTCGGACAGTGTGAAGTTGTATTTGATTTTAACTGTTCAGACAGTGTGTAGTTGCACTTGACACTAGCTGTTCGGACAGTGTGTAGTTGTACTTGACACTATCAGTAGGGACAGTGTGTAGTTGTACTTGACACTATCTGCAGGGACAGTATGTAGTTGTACTTGACACTAGCTGCTCAGACAGTGTGTAGTTGTAACTGACACTATCAGTAGGGACAGTGTGTAGTTGCACTTGACACTATCTGGTCGGACAGTGTGTAGTTGTACTTGACACTAACTGTTCAGACAGTGTGTAGTTGTACCTGACACGAACTGTTTGGACAGTGTGTAGTTGTACTTGACACTAACTGTTGGGAAAGTGTGTAGTTGTACTTGACACTAGCTGTTCAGACAGTGTGTAGTTGTACTGGATACTTATTGTTCGGACAGTTTGTAGTTTTACTTGACACTATCTGTTCGGACAGTGTAGTTGCACTTGACAATATCTGTTGGGACAGTGTGTAGTTGTACTTGACATTAACTGTTCAGACAGTGTGTAGTTGTACTTGACAGTAACTGTTCAGACAGTGTGTAGTTGTTCTTGACACTTTTTGTTTGGACAGTTTGTAGTTGTCCTTGGCACTATCTGTTCGGACAGTGTGTAGTTGTTCCTGACATTTTTTGTTTTGGACTGTATGTAGTTGTACTTGACACTTTCTTTTCGGACAGTGTGTAGTTGCACTTGACACTTTCTTTTCGGACAGTGTGTAGTTGTACTTGACACTTTCTTTTCGGACAGTGTGCAGTTGTACTTTACACTAACTGTTCAGACAGTNGCTTGGCACTATCTGTTTGGACAGTGAGTAGCTGTTCTTGACACAGTATGTAGTTGTACTTGGCACTAACTGTTGAGACAGTGTGTAGTTGTACTTGACACTAACTGTCCAGGCAGTGTGTGGTTGTACTTCACACTAGCTGTTCGGACAATGTGTAGTTGTAATTGACACTATCTGGTCGGACAGTGTGTAGTTGTTCTTGACACTTTTTGTTTGGACAGTGTGTAGTTGTCCTTGGCACTATCTGTTCGGACAGTGTGTAGTTGTTCTTGACATTTTTTGTTCAGACAGTGTGAAGTTGGATTTGACACTAGCTGTTCAGACAGTGAGTAGTTGCACTTGGCAGTTACTATTCAGAAAGTGTGTAGTTGTAATTGACACTATCTGGTCGGACAGTGTGTAGTTGTTCTTGACACTTTTTGTTTTGACAGTGTGTAGTTGTACTTGACACTAGCTGTTCAGACAGTGTGTAGTTATACTTGGCACTAACTGTGCAGACAGTGTGTAGTTGTATTTGACACTTTCTTTTCGGACAGTGTGCAGTTGTACTTTACACTAACTGTTCAGACAGTGTGTAGTTGTATTTGACACTTTCTTTTCCGACAGTGTGTAGTTGCACTTGACACTTTCTTTTCGGACAGTGTGTAGCTGTTCTTGACACTTTCTATTCGGACAGTGTGTAGTTGCACTTGACACTTTCTGTTCGGACAGTGTGTAGCTGTTCTTGACACTTTCTGTTCGGACAGTGTGTAGTTGCACTTGACACTATCTGTTCGGACAGTGTGCAGTTGTACTTGACACTATCTGTTCGGACAGTGTGTAGTTGTACCTGACACTATCTGCTCAGACAGTGTGTAGTTATTGACACGTACTGTTGGGACAGTGTGTTGCTATACTTTTGAGTGTGCTTATTCACACTCTTCAACACAAATTCAGTGCTTCAACGAAAAGACATCTTTATATATGTCCCGCTCGGTAGACAATTCATTATCAGGTGCCCATATTTTGTGTACCCCATGAAGGATGGCAAACTCAATAAAGCTATAATTAAACAAAATAAAGCAATCTGTAAGTCACTTATTGTATCTCTTTTTATTATGTAATGATAGATGTACATTAAATGATGTTTATTCCATTTAAAGATCGACACGTAACCATTTCCATTAAAGATATCGTAAGGAACAATTGTGAATGATACAGAGCACTACAGCGATCAAATACAAATGAGCCAGCATCAAAGTACATGACTTTGTGTATCTTGAACCAATTCTTATAAAAGAAGCCATTCTAGTGACAATTAACATTGGTCAATTTCATGGACTATGGTTTAAATGAACTAAAATTCCAAAAAAGGAATAATCTATTAACCGAAGCATTAACGTATAAAGGATGGTTCTATATTCGGTCGTTTTATGGCCCCTAACCGATTAGCTTTTATTTTTGCATGAAGATGCCTTGAGGTCAAACCAACAATTTGAGTTTAATGTAATAACATAATTTAATAAAATCCGCTTTTTACACCTTGCGAGATATTGGGGGTCTAAGGAGGGGCAGTAAAATGACACCTTTCGTTTCTCAGTTCCAATAAATTCAATATCGATTTAAAACGTATTATTTTTGTGAAAATAAACTATTCAGATATTACTTTTTTAAATATATCTATACAGCACCAGTAAAATGTAATCAAAACAATAATGAATTTCCTTTAACTCCATTCAAAGTGAACCCTTATTTTGACCATAAAACGTTGTAAAAATGTCAAAGAAATGGAATTTATAGATGCACTTTGTGTTATCCCTGTTAACACCCAGAATGTATATATATAAATACTAGGTTCTATAGCGTTCCTATGTTCTGAAAAAAAAGTGCATTCGAAAGAAATTTATTGAATACAAAAAAATAACATCATCAACACTAAAAAATAAATACATGTATAAACAGAAGGTATGGAAAAAACAAAAGGTATGCAAAAAACAGAAGGTATGGAAAAACAGAAGGTATGGAAAAACAGAAGGTATGGAAAAACAGAAGGTATGTATAAACAGAAGGTATGGAAAAACAGAAGGTATGTATAAACAGAAGGTATGGAAAAAACAGAAGGTATGTATAAACAGAAGGTATGGAAAAAACAGAAGGTATGTATAAACAGAAGGTATGGAAAAAACAGAAGGTATGTATAAACAGAAGGTATGGAAAAAACAGAAGGTATGTATAAACAGAAGGTATGGAAAAAACAGAAGGTATGTATAAACAGAAGGTATGGAAAAAACAGAAGGTATGTATAAACAGAAGGTATGGAAAAAACAGAAGGTATGTATAAACAGAAGGTATGGAAAAAACAGAAGGTTGTATAAACAGAAGGTATGGAATAAACAGAAGGTATGTATAAACAGAAGGTATGGAATAAACAGAAGGTATGTATAAACAGAAGGTATGGAATAAACAGAAGGTATGTATAAACAGAAGGTATGGAAAAAACAGAAGGTATGTATAAACAGAAGGTATGGAAAAAACAGAAGGTATGTATAAACAGAAGGTATGGAATAAACAGAAGGTATGTATAAACAGAAGGTATGGAATAAACAGAAGGTATGTATAAACAGAAGGTATGGAAAAAACAGAAGGTATGTATAAACAGAAGGTATGGAAAAAACAGAAGGTATGTATAAACAGAAGGTATGGAATAAACAGAAGGTATGTATAAACAGAAGGTATGGAAAAAACAGAAGGTATGTATAAACAGAAGGTATGGAAAAAACAGAAGGTATGTATAAACAGAAGGTATGGAATAAACAGAAGGTATGTATAAACAGAAGGTATGGAAAAAACAGAAGGTATGTATAAACAGAAGGTATGGAAAAAACAGAAGGTATGTATAAACAGAAGGTATGGAAAAAACAGAAGGTATGTATAAACAGAAGGTATGGAAAAAACAGAAGGTATGTATAAACAGAAGGTATGGAATAAACAGAAGGTATGTATAAACAGAAGGTATGGAAAAAACAGAAGGTATGTATAAACAGAAGGTATGGAAAAAACAGAAGGTATGTATAAACAGAAGGTATGGAAAAAACAGAAGGTATGTATAAACAGAAGGTATGGAAAAAACAGAAGGTATGTATAAACAGAAGGTATGGAAAAAACAGAAGGTATGTATAAACAGAAGGTATGGAAAAAACAGAAGGTATGTATAAACAGAAGGTATGGAAAAAACAGAAGGTATGTATAAACAGAAGGTATGGAAAAAACAGAAGGTATGTATAAACAGAAGGTATGGAAAAAACAGAAGGTATGTATAAACAGAAGGTATGGAAAAAACAGAAGGTATGTATAAACAGAAGGTATGGAAAAAACAGAAGGTATGTATAAACAGAAGGTATGGAAAAAACAGAAGGTATGTATAAACAGAAGGTATGGAAAAAACAGAAGGTTGTATAAACAGAAGGTATGGAATAAACAGAAGGTATGTATAAACAGAAGGTATGGAATAAACAGAAGGTATGTATAAACAGAAGGTATGGAATAAACAGAAGGTATGTATAAACAGAAGGTATGGAAAAAACAGAAGGTATGTATAAACAGAAGGTATGGAAAAAACAGAAGGTATGTATAAACAGAAGGTATGGAATAAACAGAAGGTATGTATAAACAGAAGGTATGGAATAAACAGAAGGTATGTATAAACAGAAGGTATGGAAAAAACAGAAGGTATGTATAAACAGAAGGTATGGAAAAAACAGAAGGTATGTATAAACAGAAGGTATGGAATAAACAGAAGGTATGTATAAACAGAAGGTATGGAAAAAACAGAAGGTATGTATAAACAGAAGGTATGGAAAAAACAGAAGGTATGTATAAACAGAAGGTATGGAATAAACAGAAGGTATGTATAAACAGAAGGTATGGAAAAAACAGAAGGTATGTATAAACAGAAGGTATGGAAAAAACAGAAGGTATGTATAAACAGAAGGTATGGAAAAAACAGAAGGTATGTATAAACAGAAGGTATGGAAAAAACAGAAGGTATGTATAAACAGAAGGTATGGAAAAAACAGAAGGTATGTATAAACAGAAGGTATGGAAAAAACAGAAGGTATGTATAAACAGAAGGTATGGAAAAAACAGAAGGTATGTATAAACAGAAGGTATGGAAAAAACAGAAGGTATGTATAAACAGAAGGTATGGAAAAAACAGAAGGTATGTATAAACAGAAGGTATGGAAAAAACAGAAGGTATGTATAAACAGAAGGTATGGAAAAAACAGAAGGTATGTATAAACAGAAGGTATGGAAAAAACAGAAGGTATGTATAAACAGAAGGTATGGAAAAAACAGAAGGTATGTATAAACAGAAGGTATGGAAAAAACAGAAGGTATGTATAAACAGAAGGTATGGAAAAAACAGAAGGTATGTATAAACAGAAGGTATGGAAAAAACAGAAGGTATGTATAAACAGAAGGTATGGAAAAAACAGAAGGTATGTATAAACAGAAGGTATGGAAAAAACAGAAGGTATGTATAAACAGAAGGTATGGAAAAAACAGAAGGTATGTATAAACAGAAGGTATGGAATAAACAGAAGGTATGTATAAACAGAAGGTATGGAAAAAACAGAAGGTATGTATAAACAGAAGGTATGGAAAAAACAGAAGGTATGTATAAACAGAAGGTATGGAAAAAACAGAAGGTATGTATAAACAGAAGGTATGGAAAAAACAGAAGGTATGTATAAACAGAAGATATGGAAAAAACAGAAGGTATGGAAAAACAGAAGGTATGGAAAAAACAGAAGGTATGGAAAAAAACAGAAGGTATGTATAAACAGAAGGTATGTATAAACAGAAGGTATGGAAAAAACAGAAGGTATGGAAAAAACAGAAGGTTGTATAAACAGAAGGTATGGAAAAAACAGAAGGTATGGAATAAATAGGAGGTATGGAAAAACCAGAAGGTATGGAAAAACAGAAGGTATGGAAAAAACAGAAGGTATGGAAAAAACAGAAGTGCGCTAAAAGGTCACTGAGGAGAAAATGGTATGATATTGTCTCCTGCATGCATACCTGCAATGGACCTCTTGTCCTTGATGATTTAGCTGTAATACTTTCGATACCTTCCATACAACTACTACTATACCTTTTTATTCAATATTCCGGGAGAATCAATTCCTGTTTTGGATCAGAAAATAAGATCAATTCATGTCATTAAAACATGAGTATAGCAAAAATCGATTTTATTGGAAATGAGTCACTGTGACCTACTATTTTTGTTATTGATCCTTTTTTTTTCATTAATATTTCTTCAATATATAACAATCAACTTAATGATTATTCATAAAAATGCATTTATTCAAAAGTGATAAAGCTTTAGACCTTAAATAAGGAATATGTTCTTGTCCCAATTTGATCAAATTGAGCATATGTGCGCAGCATACATTAAGAAGATCAACAAAGTCTGTATCATAACATAAGTGTAAACCATATAGGGTAATTCTTTTCCCCATATGTATGGATGAGACCGTTTCTTCCTAAGTCAATGAAGCGTGAAGTATAGGTTGAATTGAGTGTCAGAAACATCCATCAGGGTTTGTGAGTCTGTCTAACTTACTGTACATCTACATGTATATGTTGTCTGTGAAACATGATAAAGTGGCTAATTCATGTAATAGACCAAGATCAAATTACTATAGAATAGCTGCTCAAGATGAGGTACTGTAGGTTAAATTTAGCACAAGAATGTTCCAATTAAGACACGTGACGTATTTCTGCAATATATGTACACAATAAGTGATAAAATATAGAATAGATACGCTTATGAAATACTGTAATATTATATATAATGTTAAAATAAGACATAAAAATGAGATATTGAGGCTATCATAATAAAATAAAAATGGATATAAAATAAATAACAAAATGAAAAGGATGTACATGTATTTAATAAACAGGTGGTTGAGGAGGTTACTACCAACCTACAATCTGGATAGAAAATAACAATTATTAATCTGTTACCGTTTCCTGACTTTGAAGAATTGTATCTTATGATCTCAAAATGGGAAAGAAGAAATTAAAAAGTAAATTTAAAAATATATCCTCCCCGGCGGGGAATTGAACCCCGGTCTCCCGCGTGACAGGCGGGGATACTTACCACTATACTACCGAGGAATAATTACGTTGTGTAAATCTAATATATAAATACACAGATTGACCTACATTGATTAATCGACAAACTACTTCCTGTTTTCAAGATTTTAACCAAAGAAATTAATTTAAATAGTAAATATAAAAACTTTTTTAATTCTTCGTTAGTAAAAATAGATCAGTCGTACGGTCTCTACAAGCGTACAATTATAACTAACCGAATTATTGCATGTCACGGACGTGACTACATCCGAGTGATCTCCCTTTTGGACGCCGGTTTCCAAATCAAGAAGGTATTGTGCAGTATATTATGATCATTTTGTAAATTTCATTGATAAAGAATTGCCATCGCGTGTGAACATAACATACAAACTCGTTTTTATTTAGCCATTTAGGTTAAGAACAAATTGAAACTTTCACTGTTTCGAAACAAGTACCTGTTTAGGCTGAGTGACAAAGCAGATTACTTGGAGTTTCCACTTTCTGTTTACGTTACTTACAGTATAGACAGCAGCATCGGGCAAAGGCTCTTGTATCTGGTGTTTGTAACACATTGAATTAAATCCACCATGTACACATATGCTGTTTTGTTTGTACATGGTGTATTTTGGATTTTAGTTCAAGGTGTTAGAAATAGAGTATCTGCTACACTTTTGAATGGCACCAAAATGTTTTCTAACACTGACAATTTAATTTACAAAAAATCATTAGGAATATTACATTTTTTAAGCTATCTGCTCGACGAACCAGATCGCATAACAGCCACATGATTTTGTTTAAGCAAACAATGATGAGTTGTGGCATATCGATAATATAAAAAAAAGGTTTTCTAGATGTTTTTTTCTATCTATCAATATGTTACTCCATAGAGACCAAAAATGACTATTGTATTTTATAATGTAAGCTACATGTAATATTTAAAAACTACTCTCTGCTAGTGCATATCTTTGAGAAAAAATAGTGTGAACTGTGAATTTAGTTGTATTCGCCTCATTTTTTTTCAATAATGAAAGTGAAAAATAGATCTTCTATATTGATTTTCAAATCCAATGAAGAATTAAACTAAATAAAAACATAAACATGTAAACCCCCTCCCCACTTCTCCCCTGACCTGACACCACATAAAAAGTATTGTTGAGCTAGGAGTAATCAACATAATATTGACCCTTTTCTATACTGTACAAATTTAAACATCATAACATTTGAAAATTATATGAAATTGAAAGAACTATGGGTGGAATTTTTGGAGAACTCTGTATTTTTCTGATGAAACTTTACTTGGGGATGGTGCATGTGAACAATGTGTATTTTATCAATTTGACATTTAACAATGTCTAATTATTAGCACAAAACAATTATGCTACCAGGATTGGCTCGGTGGTCAAACCCCACTCCTGGAGACTTAATTTCTGAGTTATAACATGGAAACTGTTGAGATCCCCACCTTCAATTCTTATATTAACCCATTCATGACATAATTAGAGAAATATATTCATGCTATCAGAATTTGCCTGGGATGTGTTCCTGACCACGAGGTGGGTTCGGAACTTCTGATAGAGAAATAAGTTCACAAGTTGGAAACTGTCGTGATGACTACCTTATAACCAAATATACAATTGCTGGATAATCTACCGGGATTGCTAGTTGGGTCCAGCTACATCCTTCGGGTTTTACTCCCAGGGTAATAACATGAAAATAGTTGAGACACCTACCCTTTAACCATATATACAATTGATTGGCATGGAGAAACAAGAGACCCATGTTACCATGCCAGGATTGGCCCCAACTAGATGATCAGGTTTGGGTTGTTTGGGTTTTACATCCTTGTAAAGCTATAATCATTAGACGAGCCAGGCTTTGATGGCAGAGAGGAAACCTGAAGTACTCAGAGAAAAACCACTAACGTGTGGCCCAAACAAGGGCAAAGCCTGGGGTTTTACCAAATTTGAAAACGCCTCGGGTGGAATTTCCCTATCCTACATCCTTGGGCATAAAAGAGTCTTATAATCCTTGGTGTTTTCATTGCCCACCAAAAGGGATTTAGTCCTACTCAGCAGGTGTTTAATTGAAAATGAAATTCAATGTACCAGGTGAACTATTAAGGGTCCTTGGCCTCTGGTCAATTTGCTATGTGACATTCATTAACTTTAATGGTTGTATCTACTTCAGGTCCAGAACTGTAAGATGACAGACATATCCCAGTATGTGATGCCTAATGACACAGGCCTGTGTCTGTTGGACTGTACCAAAGCCTTTGATAACCTGACAGACAAGGAAAAGTTGTATGCCCACTACATATCTCAGGCATCCTGGTATGGGGGACTCATCGTCTTAGTGCAGGTAAGTCTTGGTACGGGGGATCATCGTCTTTGTACAGGTAAGTCATGATACAGAGGATTCATCGTCTTTGTACAGGTAAATCTTGATACAGAGGATTCATCATCTTTGTACAGGTAAGTCTTGGTACGGGAGACTCATCATCCTGGTGCAGATAATTCATGATACAGAGGATTGATTCATCATCTTTGTACAGGTACCTAGGCTACATATGTAGGTACCAGGGATTCATTTTCTTTGTACAGGTAAGTATTTAAATAGAAGGTTCATCATCTTTGTACAGCAGGTACCTAGGCTACATATGTAGGTACCAGGGATTCATCTTCTTTGTACAGGTAAGTCAAGGTACCAGGGATTTAAATAGAAGGTTCATCATCTTTGTACAGGTGAATCATGGTACCAGGGATTCATCATCTGTGTACAGGTAAGTCACGGATACAGTAGATTCATCATCTGTGTACAGGTAAGACAAGGTACTAGGGATTCATCATCTTTGTACAGGTTCATACATACGAAGGTACCAGGGGATTCATCATCTTTGTACAGGTAAGTCATGGTACAGAGGAATCATCATCTTTGTACAGGTAAGTCAAGGTACCAGGGATTCATCATCTTTGTACAGGTACATACATATATGTAGGTACCAGGGGATTCATCATCTTTGTACAGGTAAGTCATGGTACCAGAGGATTTGTTTCATCTTTGTCAGATTTTTCAAGTTTTTAACCACATATTTTTAAGAGAAGTCCTTTTTCTTGTGACAAGAGGTTTTAGACCAAAGTAATTTTGAAAATTAATTCCAGCTTTAACGTGCTAAAAGTATAACTCAAACAATTTTACTTGAGTGAACTAAGACCCATAGGTCTCTTTTACTCAGGGATAGTAATTTAACCATTAAGGCCTAAGGATCTTTGGGTATTTTGTTCTACAGACATCCCCTGAGTCGCCTGGAATTTTCCTGTTGCTACAAAAGGTGTTTCGGGGTCAGACAGTCGAGGAGCTGAAGAAAGCGGTGACAAAAGATGGATCGCTGACAGATCACCAGTTCCAGGTAGGAACACAAGTTTGTTATTGTTATTGTTTTATGTAAAATGTTTTATATAAAAGTTTTAATTCTTTTATAAAGCTGCTCTTGGCGAGGGCCGAGCGGCTTATTAATTCTGTCCAGAGAACGAAATGACGGACCCACTTCCGTTCGGGGTGCGTGCGCATAATTCAGTCTTGCATGCTTCCGCTATATAGTTTCGTTATCTTAAATAGAAAGTAGAATCTCTGACACTCACCTGTAGGTTACATAAAGTCTTCTGATACTCTTCTCCAAATAATCCATACTTTAAAATATTGCTGAAAACAAAATGTTTATCTCCAGTGCATTCTACGAGTGTTGTGGTGGTGAAATTCGTGCACTGGGTTTGAGCGTTTTAGCAACTCGGATTGAGGTCTGAGGAGTGTTACGCGTGTGAAACATATATAATTCGAGAAAGCACATTTGAAGACTGTCAAGCATTGACGCTGTCTGCAGAAGGAATAAGTAAATATATATACTTATAAACCGTATGAGTGATGAAGTATAACCTTTATTTTGATGTTTCAAACAGGAACGTAATATGACATATCGTGCTTAGGTTGAAAACGGTAATGGCTCTGAGACGAGACGATATGTGAACCGTGTATGCTTATCAAACATTTCTGTAACACAGCATGCTTTTTCTGGTATATTTATTTATGAAAATGTAACAATTTAAGAACATGACACAACTGTTGCTGCTGTTTGACAAGAATTCGCGCCGTGTCAAAATATTATCCAATCCAGTGTAAGGGAAATAACTCTTAAGTTCGTAAAGTCGCACTGAGAAATATAATTCAAATATATTCCAAGAACATTTGTGAGATTTTGTATATTCAATGACAGTAAATAAAGTCAATACATATATTAATTATTATTATTAATATGAATAAAAGATAAATAAAAATAAAATACAATGTCTCTTTTCTCCATGCATGTTTTCCCACTACAGTTAATTATCCTTCATCTCACAAGCACAAAATGCACCTATTCTTTATTATCCATCACCGATTGCCATTCTACAAGTAAATGCTCATGTCACATCATTGGAGGATGCTAATTAATGAAAATAACAACAGTGCATCACACTTAAAGAGGATGAAAAAAGAGGAGAGGGAGAATGTTTTTAAGGCATAATTTAAGAGTTGATTGATTTTGGAAATTCCAAAGGCAACATCATCACATGACCTGATTTTCAATTAACAGAATACAGAACACATATCTGAGGTATTATAGTAGATATTGATGCTCAACGTGTTACTGAAGCAATTAAAATTAAAGTGGTGAGCGGCTTTAATGTCACACTGACATAATTCTAGTTAAGATTTTAAAATGAATTCGTCAATCATTAAAAATTTGACAATTGAAATATACTGTTAAATTGTTAATAGTTTGTAACATCCTCCTTTAGTATCAAATATCATTAAAACATCCAATAATTGATAATTGTTTTCACTTACTAAGAGATGATTGACATTAGCCGACAGACTTTTTAAGTGACTGGACATTTGTTACATCAAAAAGGATGCAGTGCCTGGTGTTTCAGAGAGTTTTTATTACACAAGAAATGGACTTGTTTCTGTCTTTACAGGCGGTGATGGTCTATGCGTCAGCATTCTATGCCAACATGGGAAACTACAAATCTTTTGGGGACAGCAAGATCATTCCAAACTTACCAAAGGTAACAGGGTCAACAGCCCATAAATACAACAAGATATTTTCTTCTACTAGAGTGACTATATAGATGAAATTGATGTCATACCACTTTGTGGTGACAGTTATTGTCCTGTTCCTCTAACAGTCATACTTTGATTACTGTGGACCTTACTATAATTAGAGCCACAGAAATTTACAGTAAGATTACTAGATAATTGTAATCAGATCTACAAAAAAGTAATTAGAGCCACACATACAGTTATACATATATACAGATTATATTGTAATATCTACCAAAAAAAAGCTAGATCAAGATAACCATAATTAGATATACCAATAAACTGTGGTTAGATCTACAGATAACTGTGGCTAGATCAAGAGGTAACTCTGGTTAGATCTACAGATAACTATGGTTAGATCAAGAGGTAACTGTGGTTAGATCTACAGATAACTATGGTTAGATCTAGAGGCAAATGTGGTTAGATCTACAGATAACTGTGGTTAGATCTAGAGGTAATTGTGGTTAGATCTAGAGGTAACTGTGGTTAGATCTACAGATAACTGTGGTTAGATC